CCAATTAGTTGACTAGTGTCAATTTGCGCTGTACATATTGAATTGAGTTTCTTGAAAATCTGAAACCTAGTGTTTGATTCAGTACAATGGAAATTTGAATGATCTTTTCACCAGCAAAAATCTAAAATGCACCTAGACACATATGACTTATGTTATGGTTAAGTTAATATCTAATCAAATACTTTGTTATCACTCGTTGAAAACGAACTGTCGAAACTACTTAAGTATCAAGCTTTGACAATTCAATTTCTAAATTACTGACACACTGAACAAACACACAGTGGATAGTAATCTGTGAGAAATTTACGAGACAAGATTATAAGATAATGGTCTTAACAAATAATTCAAAACGAAATAATTAGCTGCTTTCCACTTATTTTAAAATAGTTAAAAAAAAAAGTTAACAAATAATGAATCTATTCTAGATGAGACTGTCAAACATATTATGAAACTAAAAATAACCGTGAAAGAGATAAGACTTACATTAATGGCTTTTCAATGTAACCAATAAAATCGCCATCAATGTCAATTTCTTTTATTTGTAAACTTAAACAATTAGCCCAAAATACGAAGTACTCTTGAGAGCAATACAAAACTAAAAAAAAAAGAAAAATATACATAAAGTAAAAAGAAATTCTAATTGTAATAAAAGCTAATTACATTGATGAGGAAACGTAGATAAACATTAATACTACAACAAAGCCTGACATAGAATGTATTGGTCTTAGTTGTTATAATGCAATTAGTCCGACAAAATGACAGTAACCAAAAACATATCGGAATATGGGTTCAGGAAGGCAATGGAAAGGTATATTGTGGTGCGAGCTACTTATAAGTAGTATATGACGTGAGTGTCAACATACGTAATGTCTGGCAGCAGAAGATGGGGGAAGATCAAGAAAGGAAGAGTTAGATAGAACACAATGGAATTTGTATGAAACGCATGAATAGTGAGTGACAATGGATTGATGTTTTGCAACAGGAACAGTCCAGTTCGATATGATGAACTGATATTTTGCAAATGAACGATTTACGATATGGTTTTCCGATTTTACTGAGTAACTTTGTAATTTTCATTAAATGCAATTCGGTTGCCCCACCTGTGTTCACCTTCACTATAATATGAGTAGGAATACTGGGATTCAAAACAAAATATGGGAAAGGTAGAAGAGAGTAAATGCTCCCGGACCATTGCGGCGAACGACCCTGAAGCATAGCACTCAGTCTCTCTAACTGCTCTTTTATCAGAGTTATCCTGAGAACCTCAACCAAGTAATTTGCTTTTAATTTACATGACTCACATTAACAGTCAATGACTTTTATAAACAACTGTTTTGGTTTGACCTCCGCTAGATTTCTTCCTAATAATTTATGCAATTGTAGTTAAAAATTGTTTTTCTTCGTATAAAACAGGCTTCGAAAGTCAATAAAACCGAAATGAGCTGGGATAATTTAGTCAACCAGCTCTACAGTGATAATAAACAACTGCATGAATGTATCAAGAGAAGCTGAATGATTTATGGGCTCGGAGTTGCTTGAGAATATAAAATTAAGGATATAGACAACAGAAAAATATATATAATAATATCGATTACAAATATACAGATCAGAGAACTAGGAATTTTCCCTGTTTGTACCTTCCTTGATCTGAATGTTAAAAAGTCGAATTTCAAATGCTTTTTTTTACTGTATCTATTTTTCACCATAGAGTATATTGCTAAGTAAGTTGATACACATAGGCAGAGTAAAATGTTCATTTATTCCAAAAACAATGCAGTTATAAATGACATGGAATTTCAATAAAATGTATGACGATTTAGGTTATAGCACTTAAAATCAATACAGACAAAAGTAAAAAAAAAAACTATAACCAAGTAGTCGAAATAATATCAAAGCTAATATAAAACTAAACAGGAAATATAATTCAGTTGCTTTAGTGATTAACTTGGATTATAATCTATGCTAGGATGTATTGAAAACCATGGATTTAAGGATAAAACAACCTATTTTTTTTTTCAACTAATATAGTTATTTGAGTATTTGTTGGTTTTGTAAGTACTAGGCATTTCCTTAATGTAAGATTCAGCATATGTTACTCTACTAAGTTATCAGACTATTTGAGATTTAAGGCCTAAACTAGGGACCCGTACTTTAAATATGAGAGAAAAAGACAGCATCAACAACCACCATTGAATTTAAAAAGGAATTCTGTAAGTTAACTATCAATGAGCCTGTCAAGAACTGTACAATCAAGATGAACACGAAAAAAATAATCCGTTTTATGTGAGCTTTTATTTACTACAACCACACCGTCTTTCAAATAACTTCTCCCGCAGTATTTGGGGTTCTATTTCTTTGAACATATTTATTCCCTTAACTGTATTCTTTCATGAAGATTTCCTATCAATTTCAATAACCGAATTCGTAATTTTTGGATGTTGGAGGGAAAATAGGCACATGTGTAGTGAACGTAAGGCGTCGGATCTTAGTTTCATAGATAAAAGTAAACGCAAACCAAAAATTACAGCTAAAGAGAGATGACGGAAAACAAAATGCAATTGGAAGCTTTTTATTAGAAATACAGTGTTTATCAGAGAAATGATTGCTCAGAATAAAGTTTATATGAGCTCGACATAATGAGGAACTAATTTTATTTATCATTCTAAACTTCTACTTATAAAGTATACTTTTAAGAATCGTAGCTTACTGCCGATTTTTATAGGTGGCAAATAGATTCTCATTAAGTGAACATTTATCACAGAGCTCACTTCTCTAAGTTTTTTTGCAAATAACAAGGGGTTAAAATTTACTCGAGAAAGTATTTTTCCACTTGTTAATATATCAATTTCCTACCAAAAACAACGAAGTTTGATCCGTACCTTTTTTTCCCAAAGCCATTAAACAACTGGAACAATGAAAGAAATCGTTTCTTTTGAATTCAATGGACTGTGGTTCAATCAACGAACGATTCATCATTAATTCTAAACCAGTAAATATACATTTGGACGGAGGATCCAAATCTGAATTAACTGGAAAAGTATGCGTATTTACGGAGTCAGCAGTTACGTTGCCAGGGCTATTAGCAGTTGGATGACAGAAGTAACCATCTTCAATGCAGAATCCTTCTTCCTCAACAGTAACAGACTTCTGAAAGTTAAAGGTACAAGAAACATCTCTAAAGCTTGTAATTTAAAATGGAGGCCTTACTTCGTGTTTCCTAATTTCTGCTGGCAAAATTTGCAAAGAATGGAATCAGCTGCGATGAAGTTACTCTTCATTTTAGTAAGTTTCGTTATGTTACCGTACGTTGGATTACTACATGATGCATTGAATCTGCACGACAAAGTTTCATTATCAACCAGGTGAAGATTTTGGCATGTCATGCATGATATATTCAGCCCATTTAGTGTCACTCGATGAGTTTTATTAGTATTTTGAATCTCAATAGTGTCTGGGTGCACATTTATGCGACAAGAACTGCAAACAAAAATACGAACACATAGTCGAACAAACCCTGTCTCTTTTAAACGGCAATAAGTCACATCAAGACTTTTGCTATTGTCAACGGCCTCAACAAACAACATTAGAGTTTAATAGAGAGATGTCCCTTTATCGACCAATTTGGACCTAAATTTTGAGAGGATAACTGTACTATGGACATGAACGAGACTTACTTAGGTCTAGCTGCGAGTCTACTCAATGAGGAATTCTACAAAGTAGAACTATTCAAAAATTTGGTTGAATATGAAGCTTACATAAGCAATAAAAGGTTCTAAATATAAGCAGTCTAGCAGTGCAAAAATGAACGGACGTAAGTTCAAATATACCGCAACCTCAGAAGATATGTTTCAACCAAGTTACACAACGACCAAGATTTAAAAAAAGCGGTGGCGTCACCCTCCAAAAGAGTAGCTGAATATTCGATTTGTTGAACTGATTCCAATATCCAATATCTTTTTAACGAGCTAGCACAAACAACCTGATTTCTTTGCTCTCAATTCTTATTGTCTTCGTACGGTTTCAGGTATGTCCAAGGAATGGTAGTTTAGCCACTTTAGCGCATTAATTCTAGCCAGTTGGAAGTTATTTATGAATTTGTATGTCCCTTAATTTGAGTGAGTGGGTTAGTCTCGTGGCATAGAATTTCTTGGTACCAGAAATTATCATATTGCCAGATCAGAGGTCAGTTAGTTGCAACATGGGGAATAACAAGGAGAAAATGGTAATGCTAATAATATTAATATTTCAGATGTAAGTAATTAAATAAGTTAATTAAAAGGTAGTGAAGATTGTGTGAGAGGACAGAAGTGCAAGCTAGGAAGATGAAACAGAGATAATTAGCGAAATGGAACAAGTTAATGGCCTGCGGAAATGACAGTGATAACAACTAGCAAGTTTCGAGACATTCATCAGTCACAGCTAGTTCAAACGTGAGATGATAATCCGTACGTGAATACACGTTTACCAAGCTCCTTAGTGAAGCTATCTACTTAGCTGGTTGTGGCCACTTCGGATGGGAGTGCATTTCAAGTCGCGACAAATGTTAACGGGAAAAGGTGGAAACGTACCTGGGTGTTCTCTCCTTGATGTGCAAATTTTCATGGGTTACCTCAAGGAGTGTGGTGGTGATGTTTCGGCATGGTACTGATGCTGGGATGATACGGCGTACTTAATATGTTGCATGACATAATCAAATCACCTCTGATTCTCTTACAATTCAGTGGGAATAATCACAGTTGTTGGAGTTTATCTTCGTACTGTCTATTCTTCGGTCGTATCACCCATATAGTTCGCGACTCCGAATTCGATCAAGGAGATTTATATCCCTTTGGTTGAGAGGTATATGCCATAACGTTGTGAACTTCAAGGTGTGGGCGTGTGTATGTATTGAAAAAAGAGTTAGAATAAACTGTGCGGTGGTTTCACTGAGTTGTCTTCGCATAAAGTGAAGAGTTGTGTAAGCCTTCTCTTGTGATTAGGCTTTTCGTGAAGAGAATGCGAATGGTTTAAAAGAAACGTCTATTATCACAATTATATGTACAGGTGATAGTTTCTCTGTACTCCTAGTTTATTCATACTTTGTACACACACTTTCCGCTCGTGTCGTTTCCATCTTTGTTACCCTGCTAGCGGTAGTTTAGCCCATATCCCTTGGCGCGATCTCGGTAGTCTTTCGATACCATTAGATCGCCAATAAAGATACACTCATTTCTGAATCCGATCTTCGTCCCTGTCTTTGATTTACGGAGGGATTATACTTAGTAACTTAATTGGTCTGTTGTGGTAGTCAACTGTGACTCGTCCCACTCCAAAATCAAGATCGCGCTCCGAAGAGAGGACATAAGTTGTTTCTGTCACGTGGAGCAGAATATTTATGAGATAACATTTGGTCATGTTGAGGTTTAACTCTTTTCCCATTGCATGTCTTTGCATCATCTGCTTAGATCAGGTGCCCCGAGGTAATTTCGTCTAACAAGTTTCTGATAAATATCTGGAATAGAAGTGGATCTAATATGGTCGACTGTGAAACTACTGATGTTGAGACTCACCAGCTCGCAAAGAATTCATTTATTTTGTACGAAACTTCCTGTTCTTAAGGTAGTTTCTGAACCAAGATAGAAGTGTCTCAGTGAAGCCATTCTTTGAAACCTTCGCAATTAACAGGACTTTAGATACTGTGTCGGAAGAGTTTTTAAAGTCAAGGAGTATTATGTGATCACGTACTTTTTAGGTTCAGAAGGTTGTCCAGACATCCGATGATTTGAGAAGGTTGGATGCTAGCCGCACGCCTTTCTTAAAGCTGTGTTGATTTTCATTGAGGATGTTGTTCCTATTCATTCACTTCCTCATCTGCTCATTCATCAGTTCTTCCATTACTTTGGTAATAATGAGAATGGTCTGCTTCAGAATGGATCCCTCCTATCTTCCTCTCTAACTCACGCTGGAGTTAGTGTGACTCCAGCGAGTGCCTTAACAGGTCATAGACTAGTAAACCGAGGGCTTCTTTACGGTGTTTCAAGGCTATAACGCGAATGATGTCACATCCTGGTGATTTTCCTGGGAACAGGGACTGTAGTTTTCTTAGTACTAAGCCAGCAGTAATTTGGATATTCTTTATGCCATTAGAAGGCACTAGGTTCGAGTAGTAATCTGAATATGTCGTTACCTGGTTTAACCGATCGGTTAAGCCGAAATTAAAGACCTGAATCATCTCCAAGATAGTAAGATCTTCACCGTTTGAACCTTTCAGAGCAAAATATTCCTGGTTTGCAGGTTTACTTTATGTCATGAACACAAGGAGGTAGTTTGGGTTTGCTTGTATTTTTGCAGCAAGCTTCATCTGGGATTGTTTCTTATCACTTGGGCACCACATGTTTTGCTCACTGCGAAGTAAGAACTATGGTCTGAACTCTCCAGAGAGACCTTCCAGTTGTGCTAGGATCTGTTTTCGCCTGCAGCAAACGTTCAGTGCCTCGTTGAACACACGTTATTCCCTTTTGCCTGAGAAACATGATGTAGGTTAACATTATGAGTGATGCTTCCTACTGTCGGCGTGTGATCATCTACTGTTTGCCTCCACCATTCCCTTGGCCATGCGGTATGTAGAAGACCCTCTTTCATGGGGCTGCACTTTTCCCTAGTGTAGCAAAAGTCAGGCTTGGTTTTGTTCCTTCTGTGAATTTTGTTCGGGTCTATGTAAAACGTGACTCCACCATGGACACCCGTAACCAGGAGCTGATCATTTGTTAACAAATGATCGAAGTTTGAAGGTTTTAAATCCTTAATGTTTCTAGTAGCATTACATACTTGCTCAGTCAGACCGGAACTTCTCATATCGGTGCCTAATCGACTCTGGAAGCAATCTGTGGGATTTGTACCCTGTTTGCTGAGATGGATTAGTGAATTCTCTAGCTAAGAGTATTTAGTCAAAATTCAGGAGTGCTAACTGATATATTGCGTCAATCAGTTTATCTTTCTAGGCCTTAGTACTTGATGGGGGCCGGTAAATCCCTCCAATCGTGTATTTCATACTGTTCATGAAGAAGCAGCACCAACGTGATTCTATCGAGTCAGTTAGTTCAATACGATGAGGTTCTACGGCACTCCACCTCCTGTTTTGTATACCCCATCGCATTGGAAAAGCTCAGCTCCTTAGATTCTCTGGAATATTGTTTTAATGCACCTGAATAAGACACCTGAGATCCATTTAAGTCAGAAAACTGGCATGGTTACGTAGAAATATTCATATTCTGGGTACAAATAATATAAGTGTGGTTATATAATAAATGGTAATTAATTAAATTTAAGCGTACATTCAAGGTGATGAGAAAACATTAACTATCAATTGTAAAAAAGCCCAACGCAAGAGTGACGGGTTCAAAATGGCTGTCTACGCAAAATATGTTTCTACTAGTATGAACACAGTCAGTTTGTCGATAATAAATCTAACTAATAAGATTATAGGAAAAAGGATGAACACTGACTGCTAATAAGTAATGTAGTCATAGATGAGGACTCCACACACTTCTTCGGTTGTAGTGTCAGGGGATAGCCCGTTTCACTTAGGATTATGGTCTTCAGATCCATCGGCGAGCACATGTTCCCGACCTCTTCCAGCTTCCCCCTCAGTGCACTTACGTTATTGTTCTGTCTTAATTTTGGCATCCGTATCGTTGTATCACTGATCTAAGTTGGCATTCATACGATCTATGTAACTAGAGAGGTCGCTGTTCGTGCCGCACCAAACCTGAAGCTAATCAGTTATGTATTTCTGGCTTCTGAAGTTAATCGACGAGGAGACTTAACAGTCGTGAGGTGTTACGAACAATGCATCCAGAAGACACTTACGGCCATGATTGTGTGAAGGCCTATGCTTTGTGTTATTAACTAAAATTGTTGCACATCATGTGCGTGAACATCATCCGAGCTACCAACAACCATCTCAGGCACTCTGGGAACCACTATTCTGGTTTTTCTAAGGTGTCTTTTGATGTTCTGGAGGATGATCGTATTCGCCATGACTTGTAGTTCCGGACTCGGATTAGGGAGGACAGTTTAGTGGAGGATATCTGAGTTATTAGGAAGTTTTTCTTGGAAAAGTTTGCCCAGTTTAAAGTTACCCTCAATGGAGGATATTTTCCTTTATCCACACTCCGAACTTGAACAGACGGTATAGTTTGGCCTGGGTGCTGCTCATTACAAGTAGTGTGCAGCATTTGACCCACTGTTCTTTATCAAAGACGGCCTCACTTTCCAGCAGGCTGCCCTCTGATACTGGAACACTTAATAGAATTGATGAGTTTTATCTAATGTTCCTGTACCTGATTTGTAGCGTTTTCGGAGCTATTTTTCGCTATATACCTCCCTGATACTTGCCCACTGCCCCGTATTATTAATAGATACTGGGATATCTAATAAAATAGGTGGTTTCTTTAGTATCTAAGCCCGGGTTGTGGCTCCTACAGTAGTTTGTTTAGCAGATCCTGTGTTTGGCAACTGAGTTTATTGTTGGGGATCGCTATGTTTTATAGTACCTAGCTAAATTTGAGTTTGTCCGAGTTTAATTTGGTTAAGCCCTTTAATCACTTTATAAATGGATTTTCTACCGTAGCAGTTCAAATGGTTTCCAGTAAGTGCAATCCGAACGCGTATCTCCCAGTCCAATGTCCAAAAAACACAACAATTCTAGGAGAAAACGGTCCTATAATTATATTAAAGATGGAAAATACAAAGGCAATACCTGAATGTTGACTGCACTATTCCAAGTCACCAGTTACCTCCGAGGAGTATCCAAGGGTAAAGGGGAATAAGTGACGTTAGATCCAACCGCAACGGTATCAAATCCAAATATGGCTGTAGCCATATTAAAGATCAAATTTAAACAACATGTGTACAGTTCAGAAGCAAGCATAA